TGGGTAACAAGAGCGAAACTCCATCTCAAAAGAAAAAAAAAGATTGTATATTTAGAAGACGCCATCGTCTCAGCCCAAAATCTCCCGAAACTGATAAGCAACTTCAGCAAAGTCTCAGGATACAAAATCAATGTGCAAAAATCACAAGCACTCCTGTACACCAATAACAGACTTAAAGAGAGCCAAATCAAGAATGAACTGCCATTCACAATTGCTACAAAGAGAATAAAATACCTAGGAATACAACTAACAAGGAACGTAAGGGACCTCTTCAAGGAGAACTACAAACCACTGCTCAACGAAATAAGAGAGGATACAAACAGATGGAGAAACATTCCATGTTCATGGTTAGAAAGAATCAATATCGTTAAAATGGCCATATTGCCCAAAGTAATTTACAGATTCAACGCTATCCCCATCAAGCTACCAATGACCTTCTTCACAGAAGTGGAAAAAAACACTTTTAACTTCATATGGAACCAAAAGAGAGCCTGCATAGCCAAGTCAATTATTCGAAAAAAGAACTGAAGGCATCACCCTACCTGACTTCAAACCATACTATAAGGCTACAGTAATCAAAACAGCATGGTACTGGTACCAAAACAGATATATAGACCAACGGAACAGAACAGAGACCTCAGAGGCAATGCCACACATCTACAACCATCTGATCTTTGACAAACCTGACAAAAACAAGCAATGGGGAAAGGATTCACTGCTTAATAAATCATGTTGAGAAAACTGGCTAGCAGTGTGCAGAAAGCAGAAACTGGACCCTTTCCTGACACCTTACACTAAAATTGACTCCAGATGGATTAAAGACTTAAACATAAGACCTAACACCATAAAAACTCTAGAAAAAAATCTAGGCAAAACCATTCAGGACATAGGCATAGGCAAGGACTTCATGACCAAAACACCAAAAGCACTGGCAACAAAAGCAAAAATAGACAAATGGGACCTAATCAAACTCCACAGCTTCTGAATAGCAAAAGAAACAGTCATTAGAGTGAATCAGCAACCAACAGAATGGGAAAAAATTTCTGCAATCTACCCATCTGACAAAGGGCAAATATCCAGAGTCTACAAAGAACTAAAACAGATTTACAAGAAAAAAACAAACAAGCCCATTCAAGAGTGGGCGAAAGATATGAATAGACACTTTACAAAAGAAGACATATATGAGGCCAACAAACATATGAAAAAATGGCCGGGTGCAGGGGCTCACACCTGGAAACCCAGCACTTTGGGAGGCTGAGGTGGGCAGATCACCTAAGGTCAGAAGTTAAAGACCAGCCTGGCCAACACAGTGAAACCCCATCTCTACTAAAAGTACAAAAATTAGCTGGGCATGGTGGCGTGTGCCTGTAATCTCAGCTACTCAGGAGGCTGAAGCAGGAGAATTGCCTGAACCCAAGAGGCGGAGGTTACAGTGAGCCAAATTCGTGCCACTGCACTCCAGCCTGGGTGACAGAGCGAGACTCCATCTCAAAAAACAAACAAACAAACATATGAAAAAATGCTCATCATCACTGGTCATTAGAGAAATGCAAATCAAAACTACATTGAGATACCATCTCATGCCAGTTAGAATGGTGATCATTAAAAAATCTGGAGACAACAGATGCTGGAGAGGATGTGGGGAAATAGGAACACTTTTACACTATTGGTGGGAGTATAAATTAGTTCAACTATTATGGAAGACACTGTGGCAATTCCTCAAGGACCTAGAAATAGAAATTCCATTTGACCCAGCAATCCCATTACCTGCTATATAAGCTAAGGACTATAAATTGTTCTGTTATAAAGACACATGCACACGAATGTTCACTGCAGCACTGTTTACAACAGGAAAGACTTGGAACCAACCCAAATGCCCACTGATGATAGACTGGACAAGGACAATGTGGCACATACACACCATGGAATATTATGCAGCCATCAAAAACGATGAGTTCGTGTCCTTTGTAGGGACATGGATGAACCTGGAAACCATCAATCTCAGCAAACTGACACAAGAACAGAAAATCAAACACTGCACGTTCTCACTCATAGGTGGGTGTTGAACAATGAGAACACATGGACACAGGGAGGGGAGCATCACACACTGGAGTCTGCGGGGGGAATCTAGGGGAGGGACAGTGGGGGTGGGGAGCAGGGGAGGGATAACAAGGGGAGAAATGCCAGATATAGGTGATGGGGAGGAAGGCAGCAAACCACATTGCCATGTATGTACCTATGCAACAATCTTGCATGTTCTTCACATGTACCCCAAAACCAAAAATGTAATAAAATATATATTAAAAAATAAAAATTAAAAAAAAAATTTAAAGATACAGAACAGTTCCATTAGTCACCTCTAAGAAAATTTCCCTGCAACTCAGCAACCACTGGCCAGGTTTTCTTGTCCTTATAGTTTTGCCTTTCCCAGAACACCATATAACTTGATTCATACAGTATGTAGCCTTCCGGGTCAGGTCTGGGGCTTCCTTCACTTAGCAAAATGCTTCTGAGATTCACACGTGCTGCCGCCATTAGTAGTCTGCCCCTTTTATCGGTAAGTAGTATGTTGTTGTATGGACCTGCCATATCTTGTTTACACACTTAGCAGCTGAAGGTCATGTGACTTAGCTCCTGTTTTTGGAGATCATGAATAAAGCCACTGAGCAGGAGGTTTAAGGGTAGGGAATGGGTCTCTTTTCTGAAAGGTCTCTAGCACATATCTTTTTTTTTCTTTTTTTGGAAAAAGGATGTCTCTCTGTTGCCCAGGCTGGAGTGCGGTGGCGCAGGTGAGGCTCACTAAAGCGTCAACCTTTCACACTACAGGCTCAGCCTCTCTACTAGCTGGAACTAAAGTGCGAGCTACCAGGAAGGGCTCATTTATTTTTATTTTTAGTAGAGATGGGATCGGTATTGCCCAGGATGGTCTCGAACTCCGGGGCTCAAGCGATCCTCCCACCTCAGCCACCCAAATTGTTGGAATTACAGGCGTGAGTCACTGCACCCAGCCCTTCATCACGTATCTGATCTCACAACAATCATCAGAGGCAGATGTAACAGGTGTTACTGTTATTAACTCCATTTAACAGATGAAAAACACTGAACCAAATAGAAGTAAAAAATTGGGCTTTTAAAATGGATTTTCAAAGCCAGGTATGGTGGCTCACACCAATAATCCCAACACTTTGGGAGGCCAAGGCAGAAGGATCACTTGAGTCCAGGAGTTCAAGATCAGCCTGGGCAACAGGGCAAAACCCTGTCTCTACCAAAAATACAAAACAAAATAAGCTGGGCGTGGTAATGCGCACCTGTAGTCCCAGCTACTCAGGAGGTTGAGATGGGGGGATGATTTGAGCCCAGGAGGCAGAGGGTGCAGTGAGCTGAGACTGTACCACTGAACCTCAGCCTGGGTGACACAGTGAGAACCTGTCTCAAAATAATAATAATAATAAAATGAGGCTGGGTGAAGTGGCTCATGCCTGTAATCCCAGCACTTTGGGAGGCTGAGGCAGGGGGATCACCTGAGGTCAGGAGTTCAAGACCAAATACAAAATTAGCCAGGCATGGTGGCACATTCCTGTAATCCTAGCTACACGGGAGGCTATGGCAGGAGAATCACTTGAATCCGGGAGGTGGAGGTTGCAGTGAGCAGAGATCACACCATTGTACTCCAGGCTGGGTGACACAGCGAGACTCCATCTCAGAAATAAAGAAAGAAATTAGTAATAAAATGAATTTTCACATAGTTTGGGATGGTTTAGTAAGTTTCAGCAGGCAGATTGTCAGGGTAAGTTGGATTGTTATATATATATTCATACATATATAAAAATATGTGTATTTAAGCTGGGTGCAGTGGCTCATGCCTGTAATCCCAGCACTTTGGGAGGCTGAGGTGGGTGGATCACCTGACGTCAGAAGTTTGAGACTAGCCTGGCCAACATGGTGAAACCCCATCTCTATTAAAAAAAAAATGTGTATTTATATACTTTATTTATATATTTATTTATTTTAGCAGAGGCAGGGTCTCCCTATGTTGCCAGGCTGGTCTCAGACTCCTGAGCTCAAGCAATCCTCCCACCTCAGCCTCCCAAAGTGCTCACACTGCAGGTGTGAGCCACCATACCTGGTCTCATAAGGAGACCTCTCTACTATGATGGAACTCTCTACTGTGATGTCCCTTCTCCCAATCCCTTTCCCCGTCTAGAAGAGGGTTCTGTTGAGTGACTGGCATTTGCTTATACTTCTCGGTGCTATGCCCAGTGTAATGGAAAATGCACCGGTGCAAGAGCCCAGGGATTTCTACTTCTCGGTGCTATGCCCAGTGTAATGGAAAATGCACCGGCGCAAGAGCCCAGGGATTTCTACTTCTCGGTGCTATGCCCAGTGTAATGGAAAATGCACCGGCGCAAGAGCCCAGGGATTTCTACTTCTCGGTGCTATGCCCAGTGTAATGGAAAATGCACCGGCGCAAGAGCCCAGGGATTTCAGTTCCAGGCCAAGCTCATCCATTAACTGAGAGTCAGTCAAACCTCTCTGGACTTCAGATTCTTCATCTGGATAATGTAGATAACACTTATCTGACAGTACACAGCCAAGATGATCCATGACAGTGAACAAGTTAATTTCCCTTCAGATATTAAGAATGAGGGCCAGGCAAATTGGCTCATGCCTGTAATCCCAGCACTTTGGGAGGCCAAGGCGTGCAGATCACAAGGACAGGACCAGCCTGGCCAAGAGACCAGCCTGGCCAATATGGTGAAACCCCATCTCTACTAAAAATACCAACATGAGCCGGGTGTGGTGGCAGGCACCTGTAACCCCAGCTACTCGGGAGGCCGAGGCAGGAGAACTGCTTAAACCCAGGAGGCGGAGGTTGCAGTGAGCCAAGATTTCGCCACTGCACTCTAGCCTGGGCGACAGAGCAAGACTCCAACTCAAAAAAAAAAAAAAAAAGAGATGAGAGAGGCCCTCCGTTCCTCCTGGAAGAACACCTGATGTACCTGAACTCTTTGTTGGTGACAGGAAATATGTCAATGGCAAAGGGTTTCACTGTCACCTCCCGCACAGGCCCTTCGCCATCTCTGCTGTCTGGAGAATTTGTTCCCATCAGGAATCTCCCACCTGGCAGTTGGACCATGCTAGTAGCCTGGCCATTTCCTGCAGAGAAAAGAGAGCGTTGTTAGGAATACATGCACACATACAAAACAAGTGGTAAGATCTGGATCGTACCCAATACTCAGGATAGTATAACGAAACGAAACATGGAGGCCTAAAAATCTAGCTTTAAATTCCTTTTGTGCTTTGTTTGGCTTCACATTCTTGTCTGCCACTGAACTTGCTGGGAAACCTTAGGCAAATTACTTAATCTGAGATTCAGTTTTTTTTTTTTGTTTGGTGACAGGATCTCACTCTGTCACCCAGGCTGGAGTTTACTGGTGCAACCTTGGCTCACTGCAACCTCTGCCCCCGTGGGCTGAAGCAATCTTCCCACCTCAGCCTCCCGAGTAGCTGGGACCACAAGTGTACACCACCATGCCTGGCTAATTTTTGTACTTTTTGTAGAGATGGGGTTTTGTTATGTTGCCCAGGCTAGTCTCAAACTCCTGAGCTCAAGTGATCCTCCCACCTCAGCCTCCCAAAGTGCTGGGATTATAGGTGTGAGCCACCACACCCAGCTGAGATTCAATTTCATCTGAAAAATGGGGACATCTATGAATGACTGTACTTCTTAATAAAAGAATAAAAATAGGTATGCAAAATGGGGATAATATCTCACTATCTCTTAGGTAGTAGCTCTATTAATTAAAATAACACAGAACCCGGTGCAGTGGCTCAGAGATAGGGTACAGAGGCTAAGGCAGGAAGACTGCTTGAGCCCAGGAGTTCGAGGTTGCAGTGAGCTATGATTGTGTCACTGTACTCCAGCCTGGGTGACAGAGCAAGACCCTGTCTCAAAAAATAAAAAATACTGGGAGGTCAATGTGGGCAGATCACAAGGTCAAGAGATAGAGACCATCCTGAATAACACGGTAAAACCCCGTCTCTACTAAAAATACAAAAAATCAGCTGGCCGTGGTGGCACCCACCTGTAGTCACAGCTACTTGGGAGGCTGAGGCATGAGGCAGGAGAATCGCTTGAACCTGGGAGGCAGAGGTGGCAGTAAGCTGAGATTGCGCCATTGCACTCCATCCTGGGCGACAGAGTGAGACACTGTCTCAAAAAAAAAAAAAAAAATTAAAACACAAAAATAAAATAGCGTGGGTGAAACGTTGAGCACATGGTAGATTTTCACTTACCTCTTTATTTCTAGGCGAATTTAGACACTCTACCCTAAAATACATGTGGCACTTTCTACCCATCCTTCCGCTCATGCTGTTTCTCTGCCTCTTCCTCTCCACTTACTGAACTCTTACCAGTCCTTAGTGATCCTCACCATTATATGCTCCAGAAGGGAAACATATAATACACATATTTTTGCCAGTCTATCTCCAGCCCCTCTAATCTTTGGCTCTCTTATTTTGACACACACTGACTTAACTCATTTTCAGTTTCTTCAACAAATATATCGCAAAGGGAAAAAAAGGAGCATCCTGGCGTGGTGGCTCACGCCTGTAATCCCAACACTTGGGGAAGCTGAGGCAGGAGACTGCTTGAGGTTGCAGTGAGCTATGATGGCACCACTGCACTCCAGGCTGGGCAACAGGGCGAGACCTGTCCCCCAACCCCACCGAAAATAAATAAATAAATAAATAAAAGGAGTAAGCAGGGAAATCTCAGACTGAATCAGAATTAAGAAACAACATACAATCACAATGCATGAGCTTTATTTTGACCGCAATTTAGCCAGCAAACGTTAAAAACCGTTTATGAGATAACAGATGAATTTGAACAGACTGGATATGTCGTTAAGGAGCACTGTCAATTTTTTAGGTGAGAAACAGTAATTATTTTTTCGTGACTTATTTTGAGTATTCGAGTTGAATGTTCAGAATAAATGGCTCCAGGAGAAGGAGAGAGAGTTCGATTCCGCAGGAGGAGGACCGGCCATAAACTGGCAGCTATTTCAGCTGGCCGACGACTACGTGGGGGCGGGGTCGTTCCTCACTATTTTCTCCTTTTTTCCCTTTTCTAGGTCGAAAGGTCTCAGAACAAGAAGTCTGAAAGCACGAGGCGGTGAGGCACCGGGCGCATCAAGAGCGACCTGCCCAGCCGGCCGCTGCAGGCGCATCTCGGAAGCGAGCCGAGGGGCCTCGGGCTCTCTCCCGCCAGGGCGGAGCGCCCCCTCCCCTTCCCAGCGCCCCCGACACGGACGGACGGCTCACTGACCTAGCCTGAGCCACGCGCTGACCAGGAGTGACAGCAGGAACAGCAGCTGCGACGAACAGCCCATGTCAGCAGGACTGGCGCGGTGCCGTACGCCGCGCACACCCACGGCCCCGCTGCGCATGCGCCCGGAGAAGTCGCCCCCGTACGCACGCATGCTCGCACCGCGTCGGTCACCGCCCCCACGCACGCACGCACGCACGCACGCGGCTCCACCGCCCGCCCAGCACCCGGTTTAGCAGGGGGAATCTGACAGCCACCCAGGAAATTAAGAAAAGGCGCGCCGAGGGTCCCTGCCGTCCTAGAAGCCCCTTCATGACTTCTTTGAACCTTTGGACAGTTTCCATTCCCTTTGAGATTGCTTTTGTGCGTCACACCATTGCAAGACCACAAAGGAGGTTTCAACTTAACATTTATTGCACACTCACTGCAGGCCACTGCGGAGCCCTCAAAATACACAACCTAGTAACACAACTTCACCTTCAAGGGCTGCAGAGGCAGGCCCACTATACAACAATCTCGTGGAAACACAGTAATTCGGGTGAGAAAAATATGACGCTAGAGGTTTGGGGATGAGTATTTTGCATAAGCAAAATTTCATAAGTCTGCAAATGCAGCCTGCAAATCTCAAATTTCACCGATAACCGTAGCCCGTAGTCACCACGCACTATCTTTTTGCCTCTGCCTCCTCTGTTTTTGCCCCTTTACCCTTGTAGCTCTCTCAACTCCCTTGCCTCTAGTTTATCCCCTTCCCATTTCCTACAACTTAACTTGGTGGGGGGAGCATTTTAGCAAAGCCATTTCAAAGCATGAAAAGTCCATCAGATCCAATGAATTTACTCAGAAATTTATACTAACAGGGAAGCTCTCAAAATTTTAAATTACTTAAGCGTTATTTATATTAGCATAAAAATCTTAAAACCAAATGCTTATACCAATAGGGTACTGTTGGGTAATCTAACATACATCCACATGAAATTATTAAACCATTAAAATTTGTTTTTCAAGGAATATTTAATAACAAGGTAGGCAACATATGCTTATCTAACATGGAATTTTACGTCACTGCTGCTAAAGCAAAACATCCTGTTCACTGGGTGAAAGACCTGCTTTATGTGTGTACACTTCAGTGCAATTAAAAAAATACTGTAATTATAATTTCAGAGCTTCTGAATTTCAACAGATGCCAGTGTTCTCTTTTTTCATATGGGAAAATTCCTTTGAAAATCATTGAAGCTTGGACAAAATTCCACAGCTGTATTCCTCAGGATCACTTTGCAGAGTCTTCAAGATCCAGATACAGAGGAAGCTTCAGTTCAACCTTTCAGTGAAGACATTCCAGCTCGCATGATCTCATCAACCAAGAGAATGTTGGTGGCAATCACAGTGCTGAAAGGGCGACAAAAATTAGATGGCTCAGATGAATAGAAGCCCTAATTTGACTCAAGTTCCCACTTCCAACTAATCTGCACACATTACATCCAGTTAAATTTCCCCCTTCCCTCTACACATCAGAGCTCTGGCTAGTTCAGTCTCCATACTTCCAGCTGATCACATTACTCGTGGGGGAAAAGGAACAACTAAACGGAATACACCACATGAAAAGAGTAGTTTTCATTTTCCCAAACTTACCAGGAGTGAAGAAGCTGTTTCTTTACACAATAGTTATCCCATACGCCTACTTCTGCTGCTACCATTGGCTCACCTGAAAGGCAACCAAACCTTAGGTCAGTAAGAACCAACAATATCGTGTGTGGCTTTGCTTAACACTGATGACTCATTTCCTCCAGTGTTAACTATGAGAATTCAGACCTTCTCTGTTAGCCCAATTTTCTACTCTAAATCATGACCCCTATTCACAATATTTGATGAGCATCTGACTTCTACTTAAAAGACCTGAATACCCCTCTCTTCTCCTGGATACATTTCTGTTTACCATACTAAAGTAGGGCACTTCAACTATAATCTAGCTAAAATAGACTATCATTTCCCTAATTCCAGAAACTTTGTTTATTAAATAATGTTGACAACAGGTCCTGCACATACTGCATGGATGCACCTGTTATCGATCTCCTACTGTGTACTCGTATATGTGTTGTTTTGTTACAGGGACTTAAGATTAGGGCTGTCACCATTTCATTAGATTTCCAGATCCCCTTTTCTGGCATTGTTTGCTATCTTTAGCTGTTTTTCACCCATGAATATAATCACCATATCTATTTTCTTATCATAGTATTTGATTAAAGACTGGGTAAGGCAATACAGTATGAAAATCCTTCAACATTAATCTGAACCATCTACCACCACTCAATATCTCCAACAAAACTGTATCCCAAAAGTATTCATGTCTACTCTATTCCCTTAATTATCATAACTAGTCATCCCATTTTTTAGTAATATCCTAGTTCATCCCATTTTAGAGAACCCAGAGTTCCCTAATAGTACTGGTGTCGAATTGCAAAGCAAAAGATTTTTTTTTTTTGGTGCCATTTTTAATCATTCCTGGCTTCGATTCACATGTATTGTATCTAGTTTTCCCTGTACAAGCAGTTGCATTCTCTTACCTGTGTTGAGGTCCACACCCACAAGCTGACCTGATTCTGAATGTTCTGCTTGAATTTTAACTAATGTTTCCTGAAGGTCAAAACCAGAGTTCTGAGCAAGAACCTAAAGTAAACAAATTTAATTCTTGAGAAAACAGGAACTAAGAATTGATAATAAAAAAAAAAAAAAAGAGAGAGAGAGAGAGAAAAAGAAAACTTGACCAGGCGCGGTGGCTCGGCAACTGTAATCTCAGCAGTTTGGGAGGCTGAGGCAAGTAGATTACCTGAGGTCAGGAGTTCGAGATCAGCCTGGCCAACAAGATGAAACCCCATCTCTACTAAAAATAAAAAAAAATTTTTTTAAATTAGCCAGGTATGGTGGCAGGCACCTGTAATCCCAGCTACTCAGGAGGCTGAGGCTGCAGTGAGCTGAGGTCACACCACTGCACTCCAGCCTGGGCAACAAGAGTGAAACTGTCTCAAAAAAAAAAAAAAAAAAAAAGGGAATAAATAATTTCACTGCATGAAGACAGAACATTTATTTGTGTTCCCTTCAGGGAATAACCAGACACAAGTTGCTATCAACTCTCTTACCAACCCCAAACCCAGCAGCAATATACCAGCCATAAACTATATCTCAAAATTAGTATTTAATAGATAACAATGCTACCAGTTTAAGTAAAACACACTAATCAAAAAGCAAGTCTGTACACAAGTATAACCCCTAATATTGTAAATACTAAACTACAGGTTAGCTCTTGGATCTGAAATGTCAGCTATTCAGGCCTCCCAGAGAAACAAAATACATTTGGATGATGAGGAAGGAAGAAAACTGATCAAACTTGCTTATCCAAAATCCACATTATGAATAAAACCTACATTATCAATAAGGTTTGATCAGCTGAAGATTTGAAGACTAACTGTTAAAAGTGTACACACCTTGGGAATAATGAGCAATGCATCAGCAAATGCTTGGACGCCAAGCTGTGCCCTGCCCTTGACACTGGGCTTGTATTTCATCAGGGCTTCTGCCATTGCCACTTCCACAGCACCAGCACCTGGAACCACACAGCCTGTTTGGATCGGGGGAAAAGAAAAATGCTAAGAAAACTGTAGAACTAATTACAAATAATAAACCACATGAAAGCCATTAATTTCTTACAAATTCACTGCGACCACATCAATTAAAGTACTGCATTTGAAAGTGACAATACAAGCAACTAATATATCAAAATAGAATGGTTCGACCAGAATGGCTTCACTAGCTACTGGCAGCTCTTTCTACAGATTGGTGTTAGTTCATTTATTTGTATTCACCTTTAATAGTGATATGCTATCAAACACCTTAGCATACCACCTGCCATTCTCAAGTGAAGACTGCTTTTGCATGGTGTCTGGCTGTGTAAACTACTGATAAAAGAACACAGTATTCAGCCATGCCTTTCAGAGCAGCACAACAATGTAACACAACTGAAATACGGAGAGGATCTTACCATCATCGATAGCATTTTTGACAGCCCTCAAGCCATCCCTTACTGCATCTTTGATCTGAGTGAGTGTGTGCTTATTTGGTCCTTTGATCAATAATGTGACAGAACGAGGATTGTTACATTTCTCAATAAAGGTGAATTTCTCTTCTCCCTATGTGTAGAAGAAAGATGATTTTCAAATGCAGGATTTGTGTCATTACAGAGAATGACAAGTAGCATATTAATAAGGAACAAACTTGATCACATTAAAACAAAGTATCTCTTTTTGCAAAATCACATGTGATTTTCCCCACCAATGACTTCCCATTACTACACAAAAACCTTCAAAATGTATATAAACAACAAACTGATCCTGAATTTCAATTAATTTTTCTGCTAAAAACTTCATGAACCAGGCATCATGGCTCATGCCTGTAATCTCAGCCCTTTGGGAGGCTGAAGGTGAAGACCAGCCTGGGCAACACAATATGACCCTGTTTCTACAAAAATTACACAAAAATAAATTAGCCAGGCATTGTAGCACACGTCTGTGGTCCCATTTGCTCAGGTGCCTGAGGTGGGAGGATGGAAGACCACTTGAACCCAGGAAGATAAGGCTGCAGTGAGCTGTGATCACTCCACTGCACTCTAGCCCAAGTAGGAAGGAGACCCCACCTCAAATAAACAAACAAAACAAAAATAACTCATGAGCCAAAAGCTTGTATTATCTTCAAGAAGAAACTACACTTACCAATGTATACTCATATACAAGGCCTGCATGTCCCAAGCAGTCAGGACTTAGGTCGTCAAAAGAATTCAGGGCTACCCCTCCACAAGCAAGAGTCAACCTAAAACAGCATTTTTAAAAAGATGTTACCAGTGAAATTCAAAGACAAGACCAGTAATTTTTAGAAAGAAATTTTTCAGAATTACACACAAAATTACATTTTAAAATGTACTTTAACCTAAGCCTTCAACCAGCTGAAAACTAGCCTTTTCTCTTAACCCTCCATTTAAATCACTCTCCCCAAGTCAGCAAATGGAATCAAAAGGTGGACAAGAGCTCTTTATTAGCCGGGCATGGTGGCTTATGCCTGTAATCCCAACACTTTGGGAGATTAAGGT